TATAATGTTGATTTAATTCGAATATAGTCTTCATTTGTTTATTGAAGTTTTATATGATCTATTCACATCACAATGACTCATTTTAATTTACACTTTTCTTTTTTGGAAATTCCAATATGATTATATGATGTCCTATTCTTACAAATTGAAACATAATAAACTATTTGTTAGCCTGTCTGTAGGGCTACGAGAGAATAAATAAAATTGTATATGAGTATATCTCATAGATTTTATTTAACACAAGGAACACGTATCCTTATCAAAGAAAATGAATGGTATATATACCAAAAAGAAAAAGAAGGAAAAAATGTAATATATGATTACATTTTTAACTCAAAAGAAAAGGGAAAAAATGTAATGTATGTTTACATTTTTGACTCAAAAAGAAAAAGAGATGAAAAAGGAAAAATGTGATTACGTATCACATTTTTAATAAAACATGCATAGAAAGAGTGATGACTTGAGTCATCGCTAACACTATTTTACAAAATAATAAAGAATAAAGAAATGACCTTCTTAAATTACTAATATGGAATGATGAGATTGTTTTAGAAAATGCAAGTATTAATCATTGAATTAAAAAATGTGATGCTACTGTTGTTGTTCATAGAAAATTAGATTAATATATCTATACAATATTAAATCGATAGTTTAATTTATGCGATATTTGACGAAGAAATAAATAATGTGAATCATCTGATGGACTTAAAAAACGAACAGGTTTTGTCTAATCTACGATTTTAAATCAAATGAAAGGGTGTATTGCAGATTTATTTGAAGACAATATTCTTTTGACATGTTCTGAAACTATTACTGTTAATTAAATAAATAATAATTGTATTTCATTTCACTGTGTCATTAGAAGCAAAATAAAATGTTTATATAACGTCTGAGGAAGTAAAACATCGTTTGAATACTCGGATGTTAAACTAAAAAAGATTTTGATATGGAAATGTTTCTCTTGGTACTGATTGAACAGAGAATATAACTCAAAAATAAATTTCACATGCTTGGTATTTACTCTTACAATGCATTATTGTTGGCGACTCTACTATTTACTTTCATTTTTTTCTTTAAAAAGAAAAAGAAATGATTATAAATATTTCTAAAACATTAACCCTTTGGTTATAGATCACTCATATATAGTATTTGAAGTTTTGCAGATAATACTGTCATTACAATATCATTTAGACTCGACAGAAATGACTCCTTTCGTTGACGATGTAGATGTGGATGTGGGTGAGGGTGAGATAAATAAGATACACTGACACACTTACTTTCAAACACTTCTGTACATTAATAAAAGTTATTTCAGAGTGTTTCAAAACGATTAAAAATGATTCACTTAAAAACAAAAAAACCGTAACCAAAGGGTTAAGCACCTGACTGAAATGTTGTTGTTTCATTTTTTTTCTCTCTTTCTTCTAATACATCTTGTTTCAAGTATAAAACTCGTTTTCTTTTTGTCATAGATTTATTTGTAAAATTTGATTTATTTGAAAGAAAATATTTGAAATCGAAATATGTCAACAGAAAAATCACCAAGTGGCGAACAATCAACTGAAACTGAACGACAAGGTACTGCTGGTACTGTTGGTGAATTAGTAACACAAAATCAAACAGGAGGTACTGCTGGACAAACGTTACCAACAGCAACATCAAGTAAATATTCTCTTTTTTTTATATATTTGAAATTTTAATATATGCGTATATGTCATTATTAGGTTTATTCATTATGAATAGTCAAGAACATGATATTAAAGATATAGTTGATTTACCATCTGTGATACAAAATAAATTGATTTCATATGATAAATTTCTATCATATATCTTATCAACATGTTCATTTATTAAATATGGTTATGCAACTGATTTTCTGTTAGATTTTACAACTGATAGAGAATTCAATAAACATAAGTTATGGTTTGCTATTAATCATCGTGATAATCTTAAGTCAATTATTATTGATAATATTAATCGAAATTTATTAGGACTTGGTACTGATTATACTAATTATGAAGAAGAAGTTATTATGAAACATAAGTTCAATTTTAAACTGGATTCATTCCATTTAATATTGGTTTTCAATTATAAGATGATAATATCACTTGATGCAAAATTTATTTTCATAAGTTATCGTGATTGCTTTAGAAAAAGTAATATTAAACTTTATAATAACCAACTTGCATCATTAACCATAACAAGTAATATGCGTGGTATATTTGATATTGAAAGTTTAGTAACTTATGAACATCATTCATTAAAATATTCAGCATCATATAATTATTATGCAACTGAATTATATACTACAAGACCAGAATCAATAACATATATTCCAGGTTATTCAACTCCAAAACCATATAATAAATATTTAAAACCAATTGAAATATGTGTTAATCCTGAAAGATGTTCAGTTGAATCAAATAAATACTTTATTCAAAAACTAATATATAATGCTATAGATTAGTTATTTTTTTATTATAAATGAGTAACAATAGATATACAGCTGACGAGCTAGAAGCAGCTAGAGAAATAGTACAATTTTCAAGGGGATCACCAAAAACTGGAACTAATCTACTACCACCTACAAATAATCCACCAACTACAAATAATAATCTACCACCATTAACATAATCTAATCTTATAACTTTACCTAAAGGTAGCTTAGTTGGTCTACATCCACCTAGTGGTTTGCCTGTAGGTGTACAAAAATCTACCAGTATGGATTTCTTACGTAGATTACCATCTCCAGGTACTCTTAATGATTCTACTAGAAGGGTAATTTCACCATTAGGCTAGTAATAAAAATATATAATTTTTTTCTTATAAATGCATAACTCAACAGATAATTTGATAGATAGACATATTAATAAATGGCATCAAGAATTAGGTGACATATATATACCATCACATATAGGAGTTGCAGATTTTTTTCCACATCTTGAATATATATCTATACATCATAGAAATTTCTTTTCTGAAGTAGAAGATAAAGAGTTATTAGAATTAGCTGATAGAACAGATATTGGTAATCTAACTCATGTTGCATGGAAAGCCATAGTTGATAGAATAATTACAAATAAAAATGGAGATCTGTATACAACTTTAGAAATACGTAAAAATTCTATGGCTCATGATTTAGTAAATCTAAAACCTCATCTAATAAATAATGTTATATTTACTACAGGTAATATTATCTTAAACTAGTATTCGATTATTATCTATTTGATGATACTTATAATTATCCATTGCCATTAGAATGTATAATTCTTGAGGGTGTGGGTGTGGGTGTAGGTTTGAATATAATAGATCGTCCATACCCACACCCACACCCAAGCGCTCAAGAGACTCTTCATCATTCGTTGCTCGTCGTAAATCGTTTTGCTCCATACAATTAAAACTATATGTGATGTATAAAAGGTGAGTTAGGCTTGGTTCATCTATATTAATAGCAGTGATTTGATGCGATAATGGGATAGAAGGCATTGGAGCAGAAAACAAAAATCTTGCCATTAAGCCATCATCATCTGATTCATTAGACAGACAAGAAAATATATCAATCGGATGAGCTGCGGCTGCAATGTTGAGTACAGGATTTTCTACTACAATATTACCCGACTTGGTCTGTCGTTTAACTACAGCGGATGAATTATATAAAGTACACATAATCGATCTATCATAGGCAGCACCACCTTGCTTATAGAGACCGAATGATTGCAATAAGGTGACTACCTCGTCCCATATTTGAATTAATCTCGATGATGTATTCTTAAGCTCAGATAAGAGTGACTCAACAGTAGCACTGTTATTAATTCGATTCTCTTCTGGATTTATATCAATATATTTTTCAATGTTCAAACATGCACTCATAATTGCATCCGTGACACCTGTTAGGTTTTTCGATACTATCTACGACTCCTGCCTACGTTCAATGCGTCTGTGGGAAGATAAATATCGATGACCTATGTCTGTATAAGAATTCTATCTCTCACGAGCTAAAATCCTACCTGAACCTGAATTTATTCTAGATAAGGGAATAAATTAACTCGTTGTTGCTCCTAAGTTTGTGACGGGGAGTCTTTTAATGATGAATAATATCTCTTGGTAAGTTGTAATAAAAAAGTTTTTTATCTGTTTTATCTATTTTATTTTATTTCAACCAAAATAGGTTGATTTCAAAAATATGTATGTATATATATTTATATATGTATTAAAAAAGAAAGGAAAGGTAATGAATAGAGATGAGAAAATAAAAAAGAAGATAAAGCTAACAACTTAGCAAAAGAGAAAAATCATCACTCTATATATATAAAGAGAGAATGAATGAACAAAAGGAAAACTTCTACTCGGAGCACAAAAACAAGAACTAAAGTTAGCGACAACGTAGTGTCACCAGTTGACGCTAACAGCACCTGACTTATTAACACTTGGATATCCAATAATGGTAGTAAAAAACGAAATATTTGTTGGTATTCCAGTATTCGTTCGAACTTGGCTACCATTGGCAAAATGACCTATGGCAGGTAATAACATAGTTACGAGATATTCAGGTGGCATCTGGCTACTGGAACATATATTATGAATCAAACCAGAGATGTTTTCGTCAAAAATTTCGGTAACATCCATCGGATACAGCGCCACCTTTTCCATAATATTTCGAATCTTATAACTGGATATTCCTTTGGAAGACATGGTGGGTGGGTGTGGGTGTAGGCGTTGAGTGGGTATGGACGATCTATTATATTCAAACCTACACCCGCCCCAAATGAACGATATTTATAAAAAAAAATTGTCAAATTTCTTGTAGAGATAAAAGTTTATAGCAACTAATTCGTTAAATTGGTGGTGTTGTGATTGGTTATTGGTAACCGATGATCATCGATTACCGCTTGACCACGATACAATGACTTGATTTGATGGATTGAAGCCGACAGCCAATTAAGACGTCTTTCTTCATAACCCATCAAGCGAAGATCACGCTCAGCCAATGACTCGTGCACATCGTGTTCATTAGTGTTAATATTTAGCTAAATTAAAACTTTTTATTATTTTTTAAGATTAATTATATTATTTCTTACCCAATTTAAGATGATCCATATTGGCGCATCTCGTAATGCAAAAACGAATTTCGCCTCGGTTTGAGGTCCAAATTCGATCTAAAAAGAAAAAAGTATAATATAAACTACTTATAGATAAGAAAATAATATTCATATTCTCAATAAATCAATGATAAATTTTATATTAATCAAGTTTTTGAAAATAATTTACAAGAATTTCTTTATTATATTTATTAAAAATCTTGTAAACTTCGTCTTTTAATAACAATAAGTTACTTTTGTTAAATATATCTAAGGAAAACAATGATGAATACAGAAAAGAACGAAGAAAATACACCTCGATGATCATATAAACGAGGTTAAGAAAGAAAAGAATATATAAATTGTATAGTATTCTATTTTCATTTATATCGAACAAAACTATAAAGGATATTCATGTGACATATCCTGTTCATCTTATAAACTGATTAATATAGATAATGATTTATTTTAAAAAAAATTAATTGTCTTGTTGTACTTGCTTTTATATGTTAATAATTAAAAGTATTTATATAATTTAAAATATGATTTCACGAAATAATAATATATATGTGTAACGGAACGATGACTCGTTCGTATTTTATTTAAACAACAACTGAATATCAACTCATGACGACAGGCAAGAGAAACGAAGAGAGAAAGAACAATGACCGGTTATCGATCGTCAGTGAGGCAGAACGGTCAAGAAGGAAAGGGAAAACAAGAATAAAGATAGGTAGAAGGATGAGAGATGACCGATGTGTATATACATACACGATGTGATATGATCAACAGATCATATCGAAGAGGTAGTGATGGATGATATCCGTCACAATATGTAAATGATTTGCATTGATTAAGATATTCATTACATATTAATTGATTGTTGAATCAAATATTTAAGATTCGTATTGTTAACAAGATGTTTTAGATATTTTCTTGTAGTATATTATTTACGTTAAACAATATGTTTGCGAAGTATTTATATTTATTTGTCACTAGATCAGTACAACTAGATACTCTTAAAGAAACAAAAAAAAAGAAATTTTTTAAAAATATAAACATATTAATTATTAACAACGTAATAAAAAAAATATTATCTAATAAATTTTTATTAATTAAATAAAAAAAGCAAGTAATCACAATTACAGTAATTTAAACACCGATGCTATATTATTCTCTTACTTTTTTAGTAATCATTTATATACTTTATAACATTTACAGATATTTTTTAATTTAATAAAAATATTCTTATTAATAAAAATAATAAATTTCAAATTCTTTTGCAAAATGTTAATGAAATTCCAATACTTTAAGCTAAAGAGATCTGTATCTAATAAAGCACGATATATTTTATGTTGACATTTGGTTGATTATTTTAAATAGGCGAAAAAAACAGTTTCGATATATAATCTTGAGGGTGTAGGTGCGGGTATGGGTGTCTTCTGAATCTACACCGGCAGCCACACCCGACTCTTTCTTCGAATTATCCTTCGTTGGCTACTTCCTACAACAACATTACCATCAGATCATCCTCATCTTAAAGAAGTGAAAGAGTCAATTGAAATGGTAAAAAAGAAATTGTAATTGTTGTTCTGATTGAATAAATAAATAAATGCTTTCTTTATGCAAGAGAGAAATAATTATATTTTTTTACTTATTGACGCGCGGGTGTGGGTGTCAGCTGTGTGTAATTATAATACTCACACCCACACCCACCCTCAAAATATGTAAAAGTTTTGGAATCAACTGAGATTTCTCCGATGTTTTTCTTTTCAATTTCTTATTTATTCTTCGAAAAAATATCCATGTTCGTTTAGATGATGTTTTTTGCAATAAACACCCATAGAGTGATTATTCACATTCTGTAATATTTTTCTTTGGGATGCGTTATTCACCAAATTTTAAAGGAAGTGACGCACGCTACAAATAGTTCCAACTTCAAGTCCAATTTTTTTCGAACTTCTTTATATTGTTGGACAGAACTGAAGGCGATGAGTACGTATATTTATTTATTTCTGCACTTTTCTCATGGGTAAAAGTTGGTCGAAATTTTCTCTCCCACTGAAGTCTAATTTAGATTAGTTTACATACCACCTATGATCGTGTTTTTGCAATGATTCATATTTTAATCTATTCTTATCTTTTCATTGGTAAGTGCCAAGAATATGAATTTGCGATTGTATTGTTGAGTAGTTTCATATTACAGATGTGTAAGTATGATTTTACTCAATTATAAGGAGGAAGAAAACCGCACACAAATTTTGTTTTTCTCTATTGAGTCATTTGAAAGTATATAAAGTGTTATGGATTATTATTCGAGTATGAAAATCGAAAAATGGAATTTAACAATGAATCTCCTCTTGGCATTCGAACAATCATACAACATAGGAAGAAAATCCGAATACTAATTACTGTTTCAGTAGTTCTATTTATTTTTCTTCTTGTATGCTTCGTATCATTGCTTGTTTCAAACAAATCGGAATCTCCTGGAAAATCTACCGTGGGAACTATGACACCATCGTCAACTGCTGCCACTATTCAAGACAATAATAGTGAGTGCAACATTCAAATATTCATATATTAAATCTGCATTGGTCTTTGGAGTACCGATAGAGATGAACTATAGAACTAATAAAATTGCTTTTTGAATGTTTGTTTGATTTTAGGTTCAGAGACAACTCCACCAACAATTTGTGAAAGTCCTAGGTGGTCGACAACGGGAGTCACTGTCGCTGGTGGTCTTACATCTGGGTCGGCTTTGAACCAACTTCAAATTCCACTTGATCTATTTGTTGATAAGCAGGATGCTATTTACATAGCCGATTCTCTCAATCATCGTATCGTTAAATGGGAGAAAGATGCGCGTGAAGGTCGTCTGATCATTGGTGGTGCTGGAGCAGGAAATGAATCACATCAATTTCATTACATCACAGCAATGTTTATCGATAAGGAAGGAAGTATCTACGTTGGAGACAATCACAATCATCGAATTCAAAAATGGAAAAAGGATAGTACACGTGGAGAAACAATCATTGGTAAATTTGGTCGTGGCACAGGTTTAAATCAAATTGATAATTGTTGGGGTCTCTACGTTGACAGAGAATTTAATGTTTATGTTTCTGAACATTCCAATCATCGAGTAACAAAATGGACACCAGGTGCAGAGCAAGGAAAAATCGTCGCTCACGTGTGGAAACCTGTAGGAATTTATGTTGATGAATATAACGGAAACATTTATGTCGCAAGTTATGATGACTCCATTCAACAGTTCAATCAAAATGGTACATTCATTCGAAAGATTGGAAAATCTTTACTGGACAGTCCTTATGACTTTGTTCTGATTCCCGATTCAGATCCAAACAAT